TTTCTGGACTCCACTGCCTAGCATTCACCTGGCAAATCCCCGCTCCCTGCATAACAAGATGGATGAGCTGTTACTCCTCAATGGGACCGACCAGGATGTCTCTCGCTCTGCTGTCCTATGCTTCACGGAAATCTGGCTTCATGAATCTACTCTGGACTGTGCAGTACATCTACCTGGTTTCCATTTACACAGAGCAGACCGCGTTGTGGAGCTGTTGGGGAAATCAAGAGGTGGCGGAATCTGCCTCTACATTATGAAGGTTGGGATACTGGTGCCTGGACCTGAAAACTTTCGTTCATGAACTTCAAACCGTTTTATTCACTGCAGGAGTTTGTCTCTATAATACTGTTCGGTGTTACATTCCACCTCAAGCCTGCGTGGCTTGGCCAGCTAGATAATGAGTGTGGAGGAAAAACCCCCAGACTCTGTCGTTGCTGTTTTGAGGGATTTTAACAGAGCAAACTTCAGTCAAGAACTGCTGACATACAGACAACACATTAAGTGTCCCACCAGGGACAGCAACACACTAGACTACTGTTACACCATATTAAAGGATGCCTAATGCTCATCCCATCTGGGACTCTCTGATCACTGCCTGGTTCATATTATCCCAGCCTACAGGCAGAAACTAAAATCTGCTAAACCTGTCGTGAACCTGGCAAAGAAATGGACTAATGAGGCTAAGGACACTCCACACACCTGTGCTTTGACTCCCCCCACACCATGGAGAATCGTCAGCTGGCTAAAGATCTAAATGCGTCATTCTGCCGGTTTGAAAAGACAATGGCTACACCCCTCACACCTGGCACTAACCTCATCATGGCGCCCCCCCGAGGCGAACGTGTTTGCTCGCTCCGCTCTGGAATGCCGACTTTTTTTTCCTGTTGTGTGTGTTTTTTGTTTTGTCTACAGTGCGCGAATGCCATGCACTATTAACATATAGCAGACAGGCATTGCTGGGGATCGCCAAACTGCACAGTCATTTTAAATTCATTGGTTTCGTACCTCCGGAGCTACAACTCACTGTTCGCTCCCGCGGCCACCACCACCACCCGCGGGAAGGTTCCACAGCCCCGAGCTCGCGTGAAGAAGCTGACCCAAGGACACACCCTCGGAGACGGAGACGCAAGCGAGGCAAGAGGGGAGGGCTCCATGCTAGGCTAAAAGCTCGCGCTAGCCTACCACCGCTACCCAGCCTCTTGCTAGCTAATGTACGGTCTCTGGAGAACAAACTTGATGAGCTGAAAGCCAGGATTACAACACAATGAGAAATAAGACACGGTTGTGCTCTGATTTTCACGGAGACCTGGCTGTTGAACAAAGTCCCAGAATCCGCCTTTCAGCTACATACTCACTCCGTTCACCGAGGGGACCGAACTACAGCCTCCGGTAAGGTTAAAGGGGGAGGTGTGTGTGTGTTTATCAACAACTCGTGGTGTGGGGATATTAGGACTGTTCGCAAGCACTGTGGAGTTTTTTTTATTGTTGAGATGCCGTCCCTACTATCTACCGAGGGAATTCAGCACTGTGTTTCTGGCTGCTGTTCACATCCCCCCGCGAGCCAACTCCACAGCGGCGCTCGGCACACTCCACGACGCCATCAGCGCGTTAGAAACGGCTCACCCTGACGCTGTTTTTATTTTTGCTGGTGACTTTAACCAGTGCAATCTACGGACTGTATTTCCTAAATATTTCCAACATGTGGACATTCCAACCCGTGATAAGAATACACTGGATCATGTATACAGCAACATAAGCAGTGCATACAGGGCTGCACCCCGCCCTCACTTCGGACTCTCAGACCACATTTCTCTGTTCCTGTACCCGGCCTACAGACAAAGACTGAAACAAACGAACCCAGTCACCAAACAGGTTAAGCTCTGGACCACAGAGACTGAGGGCATCTTGCAGGACTGTTTTGCACAGACGGATTGGGATGTGTTTAAAGCTGCAGCCACCCTGGAGGACTCTTCTGTTAGCATACAGGACTATGCTGAGTATGTGACTGGGTACATTAGCACCTGTATCAACAAAATTGTGCCCACCATACAAATCAGGAAGTTTCCTAACCAGAAGCCCTGGGTCAACAGCCATGTACGACACATGCTGCGTGTTCGATCTCTTGCATTTAGATCAGGCGAAGAGACAGAGTATAAGGCAGCAAAGTACAGACTGAGGAAAGCCATCACAGAGGCCAAAAGGCAGTACAGAGAGAAGCTGGACAGCTTCTACTCTACTGCGGACGCCGGGCAGATGTGGAAAGGCCTACAGCACATCACCGACTACAAGACGAACACCTGCTACGCCTTCAGCTCTTCAGACACCCTGCTGGATGACCTCAACGAATTTTATGCTCGCTTTGAGACCTCCAGCATCAGCACAGAGAAAAGGCACACACATACCTGGACCACCCACCCACCCCCCCCGCCAACAGTCTCATCGGCCGAGGTACACAAAGCCCTGAGGAGGATCAATCCCCGCAAAGCAGCAGGACCAGACAACGGACGGGCCCTTAGAGCATGTGCCACCGAGCTGGCTGACGTCCTTGCTTCCATTTTCAACTTTTGACTGCCATATTACAGACCACCGTTCCAACCTGCTTCAAGACCACAACCATCGTCCCAGCCCCCAAGAGGAGCCCACCGACCTGTCTGAATGACTACAGACCAGTAGCACTCACTCCAACCATCATGAAGTGCTTTGAGAGAGTGGTGCTGGCCCACATTCAGGACAGCATACCGGATACCTTTGACCCCTTGCAGTATGCCTACCGGCCCAACAGGTCCACCTCAGACACCATTGCTGCTGCCCTCCATATTTCCCTCTCCCACCTGGAAAACAAGAACACCTACATCAGAATGCTCTTCATAGATTTCAGCTCTGCCTTCAACACGGTCATTCCCCACAAACTGTTCAAGCTTGGGCTGCACCCCACACTCTGTGACTGGCTCCTAGACTTCCTGACTGGCAGGCCGCAGGATCTGTCTGTCTGTCAGGATCTGAAATAGGATCTCAGCCAGCACCATAACGAACATTGGCACCCCACAGGGATGTGTTCTCAGCCCCATCCTCTACACACTGTTCACACATGACTGTGTCGCCTCCCACAAGGACAACATCATCCTGAAGTTTGCGGACGACACCGCAGTGATAGGACGCATCACTGGTGGAGACGAAGCGGCCTACAGGAGGGAGGTGGCCAGTCTGGTGACGTGGTGTGAGGAGAACAACCTCACCCTCAACACGGACAAGACAAAGGAGATGATAGTGGACATGAGGAAGGAGAGGGGAACTCATCGGCCACTGTTCATCCGAGAGCTTGAAGTGGAGAGGGTGAGAAGCTTCAAATACCTGGGCGTTCACATCAGTGAGGACCTCACCTGTGCATTCAACACCACCCAGCTGGTCAAGAAGGCGCAACAGCGGCTATACTTCCTGAGGATACAGCTGCACTGTGGAGAGCATCTTGACCAGCTGCATCACCGTGTGGTACGGCAGCACCACTGCAATGGACCGCAAAAGCCTGCAGAGAGTGGTGAAGACTACTGAGAAGATCATCAGGAGTCCTCTGCCCTCTCTGCAGGCCATCTACCACCGCAGAGTCCACAGGAGAGCTGCCTCCATTCTCAAGGACCCCACCCACCCTCAACATGGACTGTTCACACTTCTACCCTCAGGACGGAGACACAGAAGTGTGAAATGCAGGACCTCCAGACTGAGGAACTCTTTCTTCCCCTCAGCCATCAGACTTTTAAACGGCCAAAGGGAACACAGACTTAACTACCTCATGTAGTACTTGGACTCATTGTTTACTCCAGCTGCACATATCCTATCCTATCCTATCCTACACATATCCTACCACCGCACCTTGCAATCTGTTGCACATTCCAAGCTATATTGCACACTTACTTTGCACACTAATGTACATGGCTGCTATTACTACATAGTTTATATATTTTTACTTCTGTATTCCTATAGTTTTTTATTCTATTCTATTTATTCTATTTACTTTATCTTTTATTCTTATATTATTGTTATGGCATCCATTGTGGACAGCAAAGGAAGAATTTCATTGGACAGGGAACATGTTTCTTACTGTGCATATGACAATAAACGCTTTGACTTGACTAACAACAACTAGCCCCCCAGCTCCCACCTGTACCAATTCTCACCCTGCACATGCAACAATACCCCCACCCCACAGCCTACATTCAGGATCTGTCAATGTGGTGACTATGAGTTCAGTACACACAGTATAAATGAGTTCAATGTGCCCAGTATAACCTGTTTAAAAGGGGAGATTAAAATGCATAAGGGTGAAACTCTATTATTTGATTTTGAACTGTTTTGGATGTCTTTTATTTGGTAACCAGTAGATGGCGCTACCTGTTTGGAGAATGCGCTGCTACCTAAGGGAGGAACTAGCTGCTCTTTCACATTATTACAGCTACCGAACTGACGAAATCAGCACGGTGTTTTGTCATTCTTTAAAACACTTTATTCTCCACTCTTCAGGTATGCATTTTGTTGAAACTTTGAGTAATTTGTCACTAGATAGTAAAGACTGTAATAGAGAGATCTTGCTGTTACGTTTGCATTCACTGAGATATATTTTGTTCGAAGTGCAGAAATATTGCTAGTCACGATTAACTATCTCTTCCTAGCATGGAGAAAAGTGCGGTTCATCGCTGCTCTGCATTATGTATTGTATGTAGTTATAGCTCTGATAATTTGACTATTTCTGATGTAATTGAAATGTCAAGATTGAATATTAATGAGATACACTGGCTGAGCATCGAACATGCACTTGTTCAATGTACTGTGTATTGTGTGCCGTCACTACGGTTGAGTATGTGCTTGGACCGCCATACCAACGAGCCTGGCTCTTTGGTGTTGTGGTCAAAGTCGCATGTTTGGTACCCTGTAGACCCGGGTTCAAGGCCGGGTGGGGTGACTGCTCTTGCCCTTCCCTACAAATGGCAAATACAAATACAAACGGCGGCAGTGTAGCATAGTGGTTAATGAGCAGGACTCGTAACCGAAAGGTTGCCAGTTCGATTCCCACTGGGACACTGCTGCTGTACCCTTAGGCAAGGTACTTAACCCACAATTGCCTCAGTAAAATATCCAGCTGTATAAATGGATATCATTGTAAAAGAACTGTAACCTATGTAAGTTGCTTTGGATAAAAGTGTCTGCCAAATGAATAAATGAAATGTAAATGGTGCTCCAGGTGAGGCCCGAACTCACAACCTCGGCATTATAAGTACCCCTGCCGTACTTCTCCCATCCCAGAGTGCCCCACTCACTCGTGCTTCACCCATCTCTGGGGTCCCTCACACCGGGGTCAACCTAACCTGGGGGTCCCTCATATTGCTCACACACCGGGCATGCCTCCGATGGCCTCGCAGCCAGCCATCCCACTTCTGGCACCATTTGTAGCGAAGGGCGAGAGCAGTCACCCCACCCGGCCTTGAACCCAGGTCTACAGGGTACCAAACATGCGACTTTGACCACGACGCCAAAGAGCCAGGCTCGTTGGTATGGCAGTCAAAGCACATACTCAACTGTAGTTACAGCACTCCGTCACAAGACCTGTTACATACTGAGTTATCTAGCACTGTTTACAGAAGAGTGCTGTGCTAGATACTCAGCACCAAACTGTTTTGATGTTCTAACTGGTCACAATCAGTCTACAAGTGAAGAGATAATGACTGAAAGTTTGATATGTGCTGACAAAGGACTTTTTACACTGAGTGGACTCCATTTACACAGTGATGTTGACTCATATGTCCTTCTGCATTCAAATAACATGTTTCATAGAAAGGGAATGTTAGAGGAGAAATGAATGTATTGTGAATTAACTGGAGTGAATATCCATGTTTGTATTTTATTTTCTACATATTGGCTTTTTTCACATTATTACAGCTATGTAAAGTTCCCTCCTGCTTCACATGCTCCACAATTATACCAGTCCCCAAAAAAATCAACATCCCAGGGCTTAACAACTAAAGGCCTGTTGCACTCACCCTGTAGTGATGAAGTCCTTTGAGAGGTTGGTGCTGGACCACCTGAAAGACATCACAGACCCCCTGCCGGACCCCCTACAATTTGCCTACCAGTATATAATCTCTATAGAGTATACAGAGTACATAATCTCTAACTAAAATCTCTGAAAACCTAAAGTGGGAGACCAACACCATTTCCATTGCAAAAAAGACCCAGCAGAGGATATTTTAGTATATGTGCTACCATAGCAAGCATGACGCCTAGTAGAGGATATACTTCCTGCACCAGCTAAAGAAGGTTAACTGCCACAGGAAGCACTGGTTCAGTTCTAAACAGCAATTATCAAGTCCGTCCTCATCACCTCCATAACGGTCTGTTTTGGTTCTGCCATGAAACAAGACATCAAAAGGCTAAAGCGCACCATCAGGACTGCAGAGAAGATCATAAGAGTTAACCTGCCCACACTCCAAGATCTTTTCACTACCAGAGCCAGGAAGTGGGCAGGGAAAATCATTGCCAACCCCTTGCATCCTGGCTATCACACATTCAAATTCCTTCCCTCTGGCAGGTGCTTCAGATCACTACCCACCAAAACAAGCAGACACCATAATAGTTTCTTCACACACACCATCACACTCTTGAACTGTTAAACCAGCCACGTGACAACTGCATCTCTTCTATTGCATGTCCACAGTGCAATAGTTGTATAATAATAGTTTTACATATCCATAGCCTGCACACAGGTACAACTCATGCTCAATGTGCAATAGCTGTATATTACACAGTGCAAAAGTTGTATATAATTAAGAGTTGTACACATCCATAGCCTGCACTCATGTATACTTTAACTCATGTTTATTGTGCAATAGTTGTTCATATATACCTTATTCAGTCCATACATATTCCATGTATGTGTCCTGCACTACTGTTGTTTGGTGTTTGTTGTTGCCACTTTTGACGCTGTATGCAAACACTGTGAGAGACACTGGAACTGGGGTCAAGTTCCTTGTATGTGTAGAAGCATGCTTGGCCAATAAATTCTGATTCTGATCATTTGTATATTCATTAGTTGAGTTTTAGTTCCTGCAATTTTGAATGAAGCTGATCTTATTATTAGCTGACGTTAAGATATCCTCAGCTAATCAAAGTAATGTTTACCCTGGAAGTGAGTCTCTTATAATTCATTTTAAATTAATGTTCAAAGAACTAGAAACCATTGAAGTATTTATTGCTTATTTAAAGCATTAACTAATTTAACAAAGATTTAAAACAATAACCTACCAGTAGATGGCAAAAATGTACCTTGAAAGTGATTTCAAAGGAGCATTAATACAATGTTAAAGAAATTTACCTGCCATCAGGTGAAAGATATAATATTAGTTAAGTGACCACACATGAGAGAGAGTGGTTAATATTTGATTTGGAGTCATTGCTGATCTGTTGGTTGGCCTTCTTCCAATCAGTGAAAGATTAATTAGCCAGAGAGATGACTTTGCACATAAGGTTGAGGGGTGTTTAGAGAGCCCCCTAGTGGACAGTAAAATACTAAGCCCCCCCCCAAGTAGTGCTGTGGTATCCTCAGGATACATGAAGAGGGTCCAACCGTATTCATCTACACTTATGTTTATTATTATACAACCCCAACCCATTTCCTGAATGTGACACCACAGAGGACTGTGCATGTGAGAACCACACACATGAACTTGTATTTGCTCCAGAAAATGTAAAAATGATTATAGATTTACAGCTTATAAGAACAAACTTTAATAATTTAATTAAAAAGTCTGTGTACTGTATGTTAGGATAAAGTACATTTTTATTGATTTGTTATTGATACGTCTCGCTGTCTGAGGTCTTCAGTGCAACAGAAAACAGCTAACCTAAGTCTGAATACGCAGAGCCATTTGATAAAATGCTACCATAAAATGCTAACTAAATGTATATCTGAATAAATATAGAAAGGGAGACAAAAAGGCTAAATGGTAACAAATGGTAACAAATCTGATAACCTCTTCATTGACGAAAAAAGCCAGATCTTTGTTGAGGTGTGGTGGATTCTGTAAAAATATATTTGCTAGTCTGTAAAACAATGAGATATTTAGTTCTTAATTCACAGGGAGAGCTCCAATTAAACTGCTCTTTTCTGAGCAAAACAGAAGTGTGGGCTCTGTGCTTGTGTTCTGTGTGCAGACATTTAACACTGCAATGTGAACTGCAATAAACCTGTCTTTGTATTTTATGCCTGGAATAAGGAAGCGCTTCAAAATGTATGTCCTGCACAACCATAGAGACCTTGTTTTTTTGTATATGTAAGTGAATCATGTGTTCTGGGACAGTGCGACGGTGAAAAGCAGTGCTTCTTCACAAGTTCAAGGCCACCGATTGAAAGGATGACTGTGCCTCATTTATTCTGGAGCTAAAATCAATGCTCCTGTTATGGTAACTGCCTTCTCTAAATTCCAGTGCTACCGTCTGGTATTAAATCTTTCATCACTAGCTGTATATCCTATAACCTGAGACAAAGCTCTCCCTTTTGAAGACACAGGACAAATGAGGTGGAATCACAGAAAGAGCATGGATGCAGTGATGATTATGTCCTTATGAGACATGCGCTACTGGAGGAGGAATCAGGGCAAAGTCATTATTTTATGACAGTGTGTTCTAAAAGACACAGATGTTGTGCACATAGCCATGAAGGTGTTCATCCCAAAGGAATCTTCTAGGTCAAGATATTAAGGGTGGTGGTGTTATTAGAGTTTTACCCAATCGACTCCACTTCTTTAATCAAGCCTGAATTTATTACCAATGAGAAGAAAGTGACATGAATCCCCACAACCATTGACTCATTTACACATGTTAAAAATCTCACTGGTCATCAAGCCAGAGGGAGCATGGGAGGTCTGTCAGTATCTGTGAAGCAGACCCAGCCCCTGGCATAGGCGGTATAGGCGAATGCTAGGGGTGCTGTCCATCCATAGGGGCACCCCAAATGGGGGAAAAAAAAATTCAAAATGTTAAACTTTTACTATTCTTTACTAATACTATTTTAATACTATTATTTCGTAATATTACAAAAAAGCCCCCACTCTTAGTTAGACATACCTGATTGTAGGGGATGGGCGAGTTAGTCCAAAGACCAAAGCCCTCTGGTGCTCATGGAAGAAAAAGAACAAGAGGAGAAAAAAAAAAACAGGAAGCAGACAGAGGTAATGTGATGAATGAATAGTTTATCTATTGCATAGTAGTTACCGTTGGAGCAGAGTGATTGGATGATAGTAACGTTCGCTAATTTAATAAATAGCTAGAGTTAACGTCAGTTACTCCCACCCTAAATTCATCAGGGAAAGTTGGAAAGAATATTCAGGTGTTTGGGGAATAACTATATAATAATTTTGAGAAATACACAAGTGTGCTGCATGAACCATCCACTGTCTGCCTCAAGAAACCAGGCATTCATTTTTATTGACATGGTAGCCAAAAATTTTATATAATGTATTATTTTATAGTGACTTGTGTTATTAATAATGCCATTAATTTTGTGTGTATTATTTTCTACAGGAAAACAAGGAAGACTCATTTCCTTATGGACCCTTATAGGGGACGGACCTAGTGTTTTTTTTTTTTTTTGAGAGAGAGCCTGATTAGATGGAGATTGTGAAGGAAAGTATGCTTCTGTCCCTGCCATGCTGTGGAGAAATAAATATCACAGAAGGAACTGTACTTCCTCTTGTAACCTGCCTTGTTTGTACCCCCGTCCTCCAAAGCATAGTAAAAGCCCACGATATTCCCAGGAATTGGGTTACAACTTCTTAGTCTAGTTAGCCAACGTTAGCCCTGCTTGGAATAGTCAGTTAAAATGCTTTTCCTTTTCCACCCCTTTTTGTAATTGTCAGGAGTTTGTCCTGACAGCGGTAAGTGCTTGTTCTGTACTCCCTGGGAGAGCGAGGGGGCTCGGGCGTGCAGCCGGGTAAAATGCAATTATTGAACTAGAGGTCGCAAGCTACCTCAAATGCTTCCAGGGCCCAACGGTGTAAAAAGATACATAACAATTAAACAGTTTTTTTTCTGC